GCACTGTGGCACACACTGGCGCTGTGTTGTACGCGGCTGCGGTGGTGTACATAGGCGGTGTGGTGTAATGGCACAGGCGCTGTGATACACGCAGGCCCTGTGGTGTACACAGGCGCTGTGGTGCAGATCGCCACCTACATACTAATTGCTACCCGTCCCCGGTCATCCCTAGGCAATCCCAGGCGTCATCGGCCCCCTCCCTCCCCCGCAGATAACGACCGTCATCGGCTCGGAAAAACAAAACATAAAAAGGCTCCAGCCGCGTCCGCGCGCACGACGACGATAACCGACAAACAACGAGCAACGACAACAACGACGACCACGACAACGGCGACGACGACGACGACAACGAAAACAACGAGGACAACGACTGCGGACCAGACTCATATGCGGATTCCTATGCGGACGCCTATGCGGATCCCGATGCGCACGGCGGTAGTGCCCGGAACGCACTGGGGGGGGGGGGGGGGGGGGGGCGTTACGTCATAGGGGGGGGTCCGGGGGCTGCAACGCCCGTTACGCCCCAACCCCAAGCAATAAAGAAACACGGTCCTGTCGGAAGACGGTGGGATGGAGGCCCGAGTGCGTAGAGGGAGCAGGAAACACTATAAACAACCAAGTTTCGGAGCTCCGTTCAGACTTATTGGATCGGCGCTGGACCCCTCGCGCGCGGAGCGCGCCTGGGAGGGGGGTGCAGCGCAGATCCATGAAGTCCGCACCTCACGAACCTCCAGAAGCGCATGTGTATGTTTTTTTTACTTTGACATTAAGGAGTATGAGGAGGAGCGGTAGTCTTTCGGGGGGGGGCTCCATTTCTCCCCTCCAGGGATAGCGGGTGCCCTATCAGGCCTGCCGCGCTGCCGATTCCATTCGTCGAACTCGTGGTACACGGTCTTCAGGAGCTCCTCCGCCCCGTCCCTTCCTCGCGTTCCTCCTCCTCTCATCCTCCTCCTCCTGCTTCAACCTCCCATCATTCTCCCCATTCCACATCTACACGTCGTTCACTGCTACTCGCTTTGCTTTCTGAGTGTGCTCCTTTCTAAGTCTTCCTGGCCCCCTAGTGGCCAGGAAGACGCCCAATTGGAAATGAAAGGATCCTGGCCCCCCAAAAAGATCCTTTCGAAGAATTAGAAACGAATGAAAGGATCCTGGCCCCCAAAAAAGTCCAAGAACTTTCGAAGACTTAGGAACGAACAGTGCGTATCCCTTCCTTCGCGTCCGCATCCCGCCCCGTAGGCTCTCGGCCTGCGCTCCCGCGCCCCGAATTCGTACGAATGCTGCCATGGATCCTCCTCCAGCTCCTGCGCACGTTGCCCTTCCATCCTCCTCCTCTCCTCCTCCTGCTCTCCTCCTCCTGCTCTCCTCCTCCTCCTCCTCCTCCTCCTCCTCCTCCTCCTCCATCCTCCTCCATTCGCCTCCTCTCCTCCTCTACTCCTCCTCTCCTCCTCTCCTCCATCCTCCTCCTCCATCATACATGAGGAGTGGCTGGTGTGTTGGCATGTCACCAGACATGCAGCCATCGCTTTATCAGCACCCACCTCCTCCTCCCCCTCCTCCTGAGAAGGCCAAGGTCGGGATGCGAGGGAGTGGAAGCCAGGCTCGAGGTGGCGTGATGAAGGAAGAGGGGACAGACGAGAAGCAGCAGCAACAGGAGGGGGAGGAGCAAGATGAGCAGGATTAGCTCAATGAGCTCCTCCGTCTCCCTCACGGCGACGTCGTAGCCCCCCCGCGTCGCGCAGGAGATGCACAGCTGCAGGGGCTCAGGCGACTCCTTGCCCGTGTCGCGCTCCACGAAGCCCGAACCTGCAGGGAGAATCTCTACAGTGTGTATGTATGTATGCATACATACATGCACACACACCCGGGCCACTGGGCCAGCACGGGAACAGACAGAGTGTTCAGGAACTTGCCCGAGAGGGCTCATGGCTCCGTTTGCCATTTGGGAGCGTTGGCGTTAAGATCTGTTTCACGTCTCCGCTCGCTCTGTGGAGCCTTGGTGTGAACAGCTGTTTCACGTCATCGTTCGCTCTTGGAAGCCTTGGAGTTTAGACGTGTTTTACGTAACCGTTCGCTCTTGGGAGCCTTGGTGCGAAGAGTTGTCTATGTCACCGCTCGCTCTTGGGAGCCTGGGAGTTAAGAACTCACCGTTCGCTCTTGGGCGCATTGGCGTTAAGAGCTGTGAGCGCCACTGCTCGCTATTAGGACACTTGTCGTTTAGAACTTGATAGGTAACCGACTCGTGTAAAAAGGGCTTCCCAATCACATGGTGTTCCTGGGAGCCTTGGCATCAAAGCTGCGTCCGTCATTGGACCGTCCAGGGGGGTCCTCTGGGTGCTCTTTTGGGTGTATTGGGGCTCTCTTGGGGCGTTCGTTCTGGGTCCCTCTTGGACTGTCTTGGGGGGGGTTGGCCTGTCTTGGGGGACTCGTGGGGCCCTCTTCGGCCTTCTTGGCGGCCTCCTGCTGCCTTCTGGGGGCTCTTTTGGGAGCCTCTTGGGGCACCTTCGGGCACATATTGAACAGTCTTGGGGCTCTCTGTGGCCGTCCTGGGGCCCACGTGGGCCGTCTAGGGGCCCTGTTTGGAGCCTCCTGGCCAGTCATGGGGCAAGTCTTCGGCCGATCTGGGTCCGCAAAAGCGAGAAACCCACAAACATGTAAATCTGACTTGGGAATTGAATTGCGTGTTGCCTCCTCAGGCCGTCTTGGAGGATCTTTTGGAGGCAGTTTGGGCAGTATTGGCGTCCACGTAGGCGTCTTGGAAGGCTTGGGTCGTCTTGAAGCCCTCTTTTTTGCCGAAATGGCAGCTGGCACGGACACAAGCAACAAAGTAGAATACCTTGACGTGCTAAGTACTATCAATGGAAGGCATGGCGCAGGTGCTAATTGCTATCAATGGAAGGCATGGCGCCTACAACCTCGATGCAGCAGGAAGATCCGCCGACCCCAAAAGGCGTGTGAGGAGAAGTGTGTCCTCGAGGCCCACCCTACGAGAACTCCGTTCTTCGAACACCCTTACACGATAAACCCGATATACGCTGCCCCGGTCGGATTTCGAGGAATAGGCCCAGAGGGGATCTCTGGACTCTGGAAGCCGAAAATGCACGGATCCAGGCGTCCAAAACGGCGCATTTTTCAGAAAAGCCAGAAACCAGACGCGCCAAAAGGGAGCTAGGAAGACTGACGCCCAGGAATAGGCCGAAAGACCTAATTACTCTAGGGTTGTGGATGCCGTGACACTGGATACTCTAACAATCCGATCGTTGAATTAAAGATGTGCTTAACATGTGTAAAAAACATTTAAAACCTATTTGTTCGATCTTTTCGACATCGGGAAAATATTTGGCAGCACGCTTCTTCTCCATTAATCGGCGTTCACAACTCTAGAGCCCACTTGAACAGCACGAGCAGCAGCTCCCTGCAGCAGCTCCCTGCGCGTTCAACCGAATTCGTTTGACAAACGACGCAACCAGAAGAGGAGGACGAGGAGGAGGAGGAGACGAAAGGCCCGCGATGCAGTCCGCCAAACGCGCTGCCATAAGCATAGCCGTTCGCCGGCCCGCCTGGATTTACTTTCGCTTACTGTCGCAACGGTGCTCGCAATCCTTATACAAGCACCTGGTTAGCAACGGGATACCATGCACCTGCTAAACGCAGCGTGCTCGCAATCCTTAGAGAATCCGCCGACCCCAGAGGCGTGTGCGGAACCTGACCAGACAAGAACGGGAAGCGTCCTTTGTGCCCTGGGCTTATGATATAACCTACGTTCTTAGAATGCGCTGCGCAAGTCTGTCGTGGCATGCGTGCGTTTGCGCGTGCGCGTGCGCGCGTTGAAAATGTACATCTGTGTCCGTGCGTGGTGGTCTGCGGCACTGCTGTGCTATGCCGTGCTGCCCTGCGGTGCTCCTGCGGTCTGCGTGAACGTATGTTGCCTCTCTATGTGTGTGCGTGTGTGTGTGCGTGTGTGTATGCGTCTGCGTGTGAGTATGCGTGTGCGCGTGCGTGTGTCTATGTGCGTGTGCCTATGTGCGCGTGCCTGTGGGTGCGGCTGTGTAAATAAATGTTCTATGTGTTCTGCCGTGCTCCTGCGTGTTCTGCCGTGCTCCTGTGTGTTCTGCCGTGCTCCTATGTGTACTGCCATGGTCCTACTCTGCCGTCCTCCTATGTGTTCTGCCGTGCTCCTGCGTGTTCTGCCGCGCTCCTGCTTGTTCCGCCGTGCTCCTATGCGTCTTCTGTGTTATGCCGTGCTCCTGCTTGTTCTGCCGTGCTCTGCCGTGCTCCTCCTGCTACTGTGTTCTGTCGTGTTCCTGTGTGTTAAAGTTAAAGTTACGGTTAAAGACGGGGCCTTCAAGGCTAAAAGGAAAGGGAAACCAGACGAAACCAAAACGGGGCGGCCCCTGCGGGCCTGGGCAGGCGGAAGGGCCAAACCCCCTCAGACCCCCCCCCCCCCCCCCACCACACCGAAGCGAGGCCAGATCTACATACAGAATGCAACTGCGCGCCTCACTCAGCCTGGCCGAAGACCTGAGCCGCCTCGAGCAACCGCAGCCCCTCGGCCAGATCGCCGCTCAGGATTGCCGCCTGGGCCGCCTCGGCCGCAGCCAGCCGATCCTGCGCACGCACGCCAGGGGCATCGGCCTCGAGGCTGCTTTCAGCGCCCTCGCGCCTGGAGCCCGAGCGCTCCAGCCAGGCAGCGCGCGCAAGCTCGTGCTCCGCGGCCTGCTCGCTGCCGTCCGAGGACTCGTCACGCAGGAACTGCCCATGCTCAGACCCGAGATCCTCGAACCCCGAGTCCCCACCAAGCTGTCCTCGCTCTCGGCAGTCGCCACGCGGTTCGGCCGCCACGCCGAGCAACACGCCGCCATGGCGCGATCCCCCTCGGGCTCGCAGCCGTGATCCTCGGCATCTGGACAACCTTCACTTCCGAGGCGGACGCCGAGGGCGCGGGCCTCGGCCAAGTCCAGGAGTGACCCAACTCCCGACTTCGGCCCCTTGGCCGCACACGCCACCGCCGCCACCGAGGACGCCGAGGGCGCGGGCCTCGGCCAAGTCCAGGAGTGACCCAACTCCCGACTTCGGCCCCTTGGCCGCACACGCCACCGCCGCCACCGAGAAGCCGTCCAAGAACGAAACGAACACGTTGCTCCCCACGGACTCGTGCAGCTCCTCGGGGCCTAACTCGGAGCTGACGGCCGCGAGCGCTAGCGCGCCGTGCTCCTCCTCGGGCTCGCCCCCACCATCGCGCTTGGAGCCCGAGCGCTCCAGCCAGGCAGCGCGCGCCAGCTCGTACTCCGCGGCCAGCTCGCTGCCGTCCGAGAACTCGTCACGCAGGAACTGCCCGTGCTCGGACCCGAAGTCCTCGAACTCAGAATCCCCCTCGAACTCCGAGTCCCCCTCTAGGCTGCCCCCGCTCCGCCACGGCCGCCACGCCGAGCAACGCGCCGCAGCAGCGCGATCCTCCTCGGCCTCGCAGCCGAACTCCGCGATGATCTCCTCCGCCACGGTGCTCTCGGCGCCGCCCTCGCCGCAGCCCTGCTCGGCCAGCTGCGCCACGCCGAGCTCCTCCAGCAGCGCGGCCCAGCGCGCCCACTCGGGGAGGCACGGCTGGGCGCCAGACCGCAGCGGGGTCCTCGCGGCCGCCACTCGGGCGCTGGGCAGCCGCGCTGGCGCCTCGGCCACGCAAGCATCCAATGCGCACTCAATCGGCGGCTGCACTTCGCAGACGCAGGTCTCCACCTCACACACGATGGCACTCTGCGCCGCACCGCCGCGCCCATCACCAGGAAGGGGCCCTCCTGGGAGGCGCGGCCCGCGTTGAGCCCTGCGCCATTCCTGCGGCGGGGCGTCTGCCGACGGGCAGCGTTCGGCATGCCACGCGACGTTCCGCCGCTGCCGCTGCGCCCTGGTTTCGCGGCGTCCGCGGACGCGCGCAACCAAGGCGGGCCGCGCGATGGCTTCGCGGCGGAGGGCCTCCGCCTCCGCGGCGTCGCCGCGCGATCCGCACTCCAGCTGCGCCTGGAGGCTGGCGATGACTTCCTTCGCCTCCCGCAGCTCCCTGTCAAGCCGTCTCACCAGGTTGTCTGCCGCCCAGCGGGCCGCCGCGACACCGGTGAGCACCTCCCGCACCATTCTGCCCAAGCGCCCGCGCGCGGCGCGCGCCCGAGCACGGCTTGAGCCAAAATGGCTACGGATGTGTTCCTGTGTGTTCTGCCGTGCTCCTGTGTGCTCTGCCGTGTTCCTGTATGCTTTGTGGTATGTGTGTTCTGCCGTGCTCCTGTATTTTGCCTCTCTGTGTGTGCGTGTGTGTGTGTGCGTGTGTGTATGCGTCTGCGTGTGAGTATGCGTGTGCGGGTGCGTGTGCCTATGTGCGTGTGCCTATGTGCGTGTGCCTGTGGGTGCGGCTGTGTAAATACATGCTCTATGTGTTCTGCCGTGCTCCTGCGTGTTCTGCCGTGCTCCTGTGTGTTCTGCCGTGCTCCTATGTGTACTGCCATGGTCCTGCTCTGCCGTGCTCCTATGTGTTCTGCCGTGCTCCTGTGTGTTCTGCCGTGTTCCTATGTGTTTTGTGTGATCTGCCGCGCTCCTGTGTGTAAATAAAATGCTCCTATGTGTTCTGCCGTGTTCCTATGTACTCTGTGTGTTCGGCCGTGCTCCTCGTGATCCTGTTTGTTCGGCCATGCTCCTGTGTGTTCTGCCGTCAGTTATGCCGTGCACCTCTGTGTCATGCCGTGCTCCTATGTGTACTGCCGTGTTCCTGTGTGTTCTGCCGCGCTCCTGCTTGTTCTGCCGTGCTCCTATGCGTCTTCTGTGTTTTGCCGTGCTCCTGCTTGTTCTGCCGTGCTCTGCCGTGCTCCTCCTGCTCCTGTGTTCTGTCGTGTTCCTGTGTGTTCTGCCGCGCTCCTGTGTGTTCTGCCGTGTTCCTGTATGGTTTGTGGTATGTGTGTTTTGCCGTGCACCTGCGTGTGCTGTTGTGCTCCTGTGTGTTTTGCCATGCGCCTATGCATTATGTGTGTTCTGCCGTGCTCTTCGTGTTCCTGTGTGTCCGGCCGTGCTCCTGTGTGTAATGCTGTGCTCCTGTTTGTTCTGCCGTGCTGCCGTGTGTTCTGTGGGTTCTGCCGTGCTCCTGTGTGTTTTGCCGTGCTCCTGTGTGTTCTGCCGTGCTCTCGCGCGTTTTGCCGTGTTTCTGCGTGTTGGGCTGCCGTGATCCTGCCCATGTTTTAGTCTCAGGCAACAGGCTCAGCTTTCACACGCCATGATCTCAAATCAGCCTTTTGAGCGTCTCCTTGTTCGAGGATGTCTCAGGCGATATCCCCATTTCCATACGCGTTTTCGTTTAATTCGCGGTGCTCATGTTCTGGTGGATGTCTCTGGCGAAATGCTCGTTTTTGTGAAAGACGGTGCTGCGAACAACCCATGTTGGTGAGGATGTCTCAAACGAAATGCGACATTTGAAAAATATCGAGGGCGCTGTTGGGGTCATAATGGGCCTCGTTTGGAATTCGTTTGGGGCTGCCTCGACGCCATCAAAAACATGTCAATGCGATGCCACACATCATTATGTTAGAGGATGTCCCTAGCGAGATCGTCATTTTTGAAAGCCTGGTTTGGGCCGTCTGGAAGCCTTTTTTCAAGAGCGATCCCAAGACGAGGTTAGAACAGCAGCTTTCGAAACGATGTTGTTTTATTTCTTCATGGGTTGAGGATGTCCCTAGCGAAATCGTCATCTTCGGCAGTCATAAGGCGCTCTTGGAGCCAGATTGAAGTCCTTTTGGGGCTCTCATTTCGTGCTCTCGAGGCACTTCAAGAACGATGTCAAGACGATGTTGAGAACAGTTCGTTTGTTCTAGGATGCCCCCAGCGACATGCAAATTTTCTGCGGTGTTATTTTTTTTCTGGTCCGCCGTGCTGCCAAGCAATTCCTGAGGATGTCCCTAGCGAAACGCCGCTTTCAACATAGACGGCAGTAAAACACCTGCGGAGACATGCCATTTATGTGAGGATGTCTCAGGCGAGACGCAAATTCTACAGATGCATGAATTTCGCGGCGACCAGTTGTTTGAGGATCTCTCGAGCGAAACGCTTGTTTTTGTTTAACGCGATGTCGCGAAGATTTCATTGTTGTGAGGATGTCTCGAGCGGAATCGTTTTTGGGGACCGTTCCTGACATGAACGGGAAGCGCGTAAAAGAGAAGAGTTGTGCAAAAACGTGGAGCATCATCACGATGAACCGTGATGTGGGCGAGCTCCCCGAACGTCCACAGGGGATACCTATGGACGCGCGCTCCCCGAACGTTGACACCCCTGTTCCTGAATATCCTACGAACGCCTTCTCTACGGCGTGGCGTCTTTAACCGGTGTCGCCCTTTGAAACGAACCGTATCACCCACAGGGCGGGTCCACAGGGCGGCTGGAGACAACTGAACTCCAGGTCGGCTGGAGACAAATTTGCCACAGGGCGGACGGTGATCGGATGGCCGCCAAGGGGATAAATATACTACAGGTCGGCTGGAGACAAAATATACCACAGGTCGGCTGGTATACCACGGGTCGGCTGAAGACAAATACACCACAGGTCGGCAAAGCCGGCGACGACGACGATGACGATGACGACGACGATGACAACGACGACGATGACGACGAAGATGACGACGATGACGACAACGATGACGATGACAATGACGACGGTAACCACAACGACGACGTCGAGGAAGACGACGATAGGGTCATCATAATCATCATCATCATCATCATCATCATCATCATCATCATCATCATCATCATCATCATCATCATCATCATCATCATCATCATCTTCATCATCATAATCATCATAACCATCATCATCGTCGTCAGCGATGTCAACATCAACATCATCGTCATCGTCATCGTCATCAGCATCATCATCGTCATCGTCATCGTCATCAGCATCATCATTATCATTACCATCAGCATCTTCATCAGATCGAGGACCCGTCCGAAGGCAAGTTTTGTGGGATGTCTCAGGCAAAACGCTAATGTTTGAAACAAAACGGTTAAACACCCAAAGGTGTTTCAACTAATCCGCCTTCTTCGGCCATCTTGGAGGTCATCCGAGATCGCTCTGAAAAAATACTTGAAAACAGCCCTTCATACATCCAACCGTTTCGAGGATGCCCCAGGAAAGAACTTCATGTTCGAGGATCCGAACATTCGGCGAGCGATTTCAAGATCTCTATTGCTGGAGGATGTCTCATGCGAAATCGTCACTGTTGGCATACAACGTGTTAAACGATAGCCCCCAAAATCCCGATGTTGTGAGGATGTCTCGAGCGAAACCCTCATTTCGGAAGCCTTACCTGACATGAACGGGAAGCGCGTAAAAGAGAAGAGTTGTGCAAAAACGTGGAGCATCATCACGATGAACCGCAATGTGGGCGAGCTCCCCGAACGTCCACAAGGGATACCGATGGACGCGCGCTCCCAGAACGTTGGCAACCCTGTTCCTGAGTGTCCTACGAACGTATTCTCTACGGCGTGGCGTTTTTTTTAAAGGGGCGTAGCCGTGTGAACCGAAACGTTACCATACGACGACGGCGACGACGATGACGACGACAACGATGACGACGACGATGACGACGATGATGGAGACAGATATACCACAGGTCGGCTGGAGACAAATGTGCCGCAGGACGGACGGTGATCGGATGGCCGCCAAGCGGGTAAATATAACACAGGTCGGCTGGAGACAAATACACCACAGGTCGGCTGGAGACAAATACACAACAGGTCGGCTGGAGACAAATATACCACAAGTCGGCGAAGCCGGCGACGACGACGACGATGGCGACGATGACGACGACGATGAAAACGAAGACGATGACGACGTGGATGACGACGACAACGACGACGATGACGATGACGACGGTAACCACAACGACGACGACGAGGAAGACGACGATAGGGTCATCATAAGCATCATCATTATCATCATCACCAGCGTCATCATCATCACCATCATCATCGCAGCCACCGTCATCAGCATCAACATCGTCGTCATCGTCATCAGCATCATCAGCATCATCAGCATCGTCATCGTCTTCATCATCATCGTCATCGTCATCAACATCATCATTATCTTCATCAGATCGAGGACCCGTCCGAAAGCAATGCTTGTGGGATGTCTCCGGCAAAACGCTGATGTTTTAACCAAACGGTCAAACACCCAAAGGTTTTTCAACAAGTTCGCCTTCTTCGGCAATCTTGGAGGTCATCCGAGATCGCTCTGAAAATATGCTTGAAAACAGCCCTCCATACACCAAACTTGTTCGAGGATGTCTCAGGCGCGAGCTCCATGTTCGAGGAAAATTAGGCGAACTATTTCAAGATCCCCAATTTTCGAGGATGTCTCAAGCGAAATCGCCACCACGATGAACCGTAATGTGGGCGAGCTTCCCGAACGTCCACAGGGGATACCTATAGACGCGCGCTCCCCGAACGTTGGCAACCCTGTTCCTGAGTATCCTAAGAACGTGTTCTCTACGGCGTGGCGTTTTTTGTAAAAGGCGTCGCCATTTGAACCGAAACGTTACCATACGACGACGGCGACGACGATGACGACGACGACGATGACGATGACGATAACGACGATGATGGAGACAAATATACCACAGGTCGGCTGGAGACAAATATGCCACAGGACGGACGGTGATCGGATGGCCGCCAAGGGGACAAATATACCACAGGTCGGCTGGAGACAAATATACCACAGGTCGGCTGGAGAAAAATATACCACAGATCGGCTGGAGACAAATATACCGCAAGACGGACTGTGATCGGATGGCCGCACGGGAGGCAAATGTACGACACGTCGACTGGAAACAAATGTACCGCAGGATGGCTGGTAACAAACATAACACAGGTCGGCTGGAGACAGATACACCACAGGTCGTCATCGTCATCAGCACCAACATCGTCGCCATCGTCATCAACATCAGAATCATCATCATCAGCATCATCGTCATCATCATCATCATCATCATCATCGTCATCGTCATCGTCATCGTCATCGTCATCATCATCATCATCAGCATCATCATCATCGTCATCATCATCATCATCAGCATCTTCATCAGAATGTTGTCCTTTCGAGGGCCCTCGAGACTGCACTTGTTTGAGGATGTCTCGAGCGGAACGCATACTTCCGAGCAAGTTGAACAACCATTGGTTGTTGTAAGATTCTACCTCTTGGGCGTTTTGGAGGTCCTCCAAGACCGCCTCCACGAGACGTCGAAAGACAGCAGACTGTACACCTCATTGTTTCAAGGATGTCTCAGGCGAGAGCCTCATTTTTGAAAACACCTTGAATTCGCGAGCTCCCTGGGCATCACCATTTTTCGAGGATGCCTCGAACGAGAGATGCATGTTCAACATACGAGGTCTTAACACAGCTCTTTCGGCATCCCATGTGTTGGAGGCTGTCTCAGGCGTGAGCCCCATATACGAGGATCCCAAAATTAGGCGGGCGATGTCAAGGTCTCCATAGCTGGAGGATGTCTCAGGCGAAATACATACACACATCAATACATACGTACGCACATATAGACACACACACAGTAGTACACCCATGCATACATACGTATTCACATACATGCAGACATGTATGCATAGATGCATGCAAGCGTGTGTGTATATATATGTATATACGCATGCAAGCCCATGTGCGTGCATACGAACATACAGGAAAACATACATGCATGCAAACATTCATACATACATGCATACATACATGCATGAACGCGTACATGCATACATGCATACACACATACTTACATACATACCTACCTACCTACCTACATACATACAATACATACATATATACACACACATGCATGCATGTATACAAACACACATACATGCACACATACCTACATACACACATACATACACATGCACATACACAAACACACATACATACATACATACATACATACATACATACATACATACATACATACATACATACACACATCCGTACATACATACATACATACACACATACATGCATACATGCATACATGCATACATGCATACATGCATACATGCATACATGCATACATGCATGCATGCATACATGCATACATGCATACATGCATACACGCATGCATGCATACATGCATGCATGCATGCGTGCACACATACATACACACATACGCCTACACACATGCCTACATACACACATACATACATGCATACACGAATACATGTATGCACATGTGTATGTATAGATATGCAGTCATACAGCCATGCGCACACAAACATACATGCATATATACCTGTTCGCATACAAACAGACACACATACATACATACATACATACATACATACATACATGCATGCATGCATGCATGCATGCATGCATGCATGCATACAGACACGCATGCATACGTACATGCATGCACACATACGAATATGCAAACCAACATGACTGTATGCATGTATGCATACTGCGATGCATACACGCGTACATACTGCGGTGCTTTTATATATGTATATATATACATATATACAGATGTTCACTTGACAAGGCAGATGAAGACTTTAAAGTCATGACTACGTGGCGCCTGAACTCCTATGAACATGTTTCCTGGTGCCCCCCACCCTGGTCGGGCAAACCGAAGGCTAGCGCTGCGTGTTTCCCAATTGCGCCGCTGGTTGGCTCAATCATCATGCCGGGGGAAGAGGAGGAGAAGCAGCAGCAGGAGGAGCCGGAGGAGAGCCAGGAGCTGGCAGCTGGAGCAGGAGTGGGAGATAAGAATTACGTTCACGCTGTGGCTCCTCCCCGTGGAGCCCCATTCCGCGGACGTTCTCCTCCTCCTCCTGCTTGAGCCTGCTCCCTCGCTCCTGCTCCTGGTCCCCCCTCTTCCTCTCGACGATCCTTAGGTCGGACCTGTCCCCCTACAGAGGGATTTTGGACGAAAAGTTAAAGAGACTGCAAAAATACCCCAAATGGTCAAAAAAATAATTAATAAATAGTCCCCAGACGATTTCTTGACTATTTGGGAATATTCTTCCTGTAGAGGGACAGGCCCGACTTCAGACTATCCCCCCCCCTCCTTGCATTGGATCCCATGGGGAGCCCTTCCCGCGGACCCTGAGCTTCGCCTCCCCGTTGGACTTGGCTACGATGTCCTTCATCTTCGAGCCCTTCGCGCCGATGATGCGCCGCACCACGCGGAAATCCTCCCACTCGATTCTTGCTTCTCTCTCTCCCTCCCAATTCCCTCCCCTCCCCTCCATTCTCATACACCCTCGCGTCTTGAAAAAATCGCGACGGACTGCTCTTCGCTATTTTTGGTTTCCAAGGGCCCTTGACTGGCCGCGCGACCGTCGACAAACTGCTCGAGATGAAAAGCTGGTCCCCCGGATGGGGTCCAGACCTCTGGGGGTCCACGTTATGACATCATCCTGGCGAAGGGCCCAACCATATGCAGTTGTGACTGGCGAAGTTGTAAATATCCGCCAATCCGGCGTGTGAACTACAAGGGGCCTCAGCAAGAGCTTCAGCTCTGAGCCTAAGCAAGAGCTTCAGCTCTGCTTGGAGGGGGGTCGCCAGGGTGGCTCTACCGGGGAAGGGAGGGAGGGGGGGGGTCCTCCATCTGACGTTTTCTGAATGATTTGCGCATCCCCAAAATGTTTCGGAGGGTACCAGGGACCCCCCCCAGGACTCTCCCCTGGGAACCCTCCCCGGACCCCCCCGGGGAAGGGGGGGAGGGGGCGGGGGGGCGGTCCCCCATCTGGCGTTTTGTTAATGATTTGCGCATCCCCAAGATGTTTCGGGGGGTGCCAGGGACCACCCCTGAGATCCTGCCGCTACCGCCCCCAGGACCATCCCCTCGGAACCCTCCCCGGACCCCCCCCGGGACCGCTCCAGGCACCCCCCCAGAGGGCACGTCAGCTCCAAAAAGCGTCCCTGACGACTCCAAGAGCGCCCTCCCTCCCAAACAGCGTCCCCGTTCGGTGGAGCTCCCTTTGCCTTTGGGGCCACGAAACGTGTAAGGGGTGTGCCGAAACGAGTGCGGCGGTGACATGCAGGCGCTGCCAAAGAGGCCTTCGGTGGAGCTCCCTATGGGGCCACGAAAAAAGGACGAGAGGTGTGCCGAAACGGGTGCGGCGGCGCGATGCCGTCGCTGCCACTGGGGCATTCGGTGGAGCTCCCTATGGGGCCACGACGCGTGTGAGATGTTCCGAAATGGGCGCAGCGCTGTCATGCGGGCGCTGCCACTGGGGCCTTCGGTGGATCTCCCTGTGGGGCAACGAAACGTGCGAGGGGTATGCCAAACTGGGCGCGGTGCTGCCATGCAGGAGCTGCCATTGGGGCCTTTGGTGGATCTCCTACGAGGCCACGAAACTTGTGAGGGGTGTGCCGAAATGGGCGCAGCGGGCGCTGCCACTGGGGCCTTCGGTGGAGCTCCCAATAGGGCCGCAATGCGTGTGAGGGGTGTGCCGAATGGGGCGCGGTGCTGCTATGCGGGCGCTGCCACTGGGGCCTTCGGTGGAACTCCCCTTGGGGCCACGAAACATGTGAGGTTTGTGCCGAAACCGGCGCGGCGGTGCCTTGCAGGAGCTGCCACTGGGCCTTCGGTGGAGTTCCCTACGACGCAACGAAATGTGTGAGAGGCGTGCCGAAACGGGAGCGGCGGTGCCATGCGGGGGCTGCCACTGGGGCTTTGGGTGGAGCCACGAATCGTGCGAGGCGTGCCCCGAGATGGGCATGCGGAACGCAGAGGCAGGGATGGGGGGACAAGACCACAAAACACCATCTCTCCAAAACAAGGACCCAACGCGACAGGATGGCTGGAACAGAGAATGCATCACATCGGGGGTCCGGATTCTTGCCCTCCCCTCAAAGTCTCCACTCCCTCTCGCTTCCTCACATTCCTCCCCCATCGATGTCCGACCCCGCACATCCCATCGCTCCCTCCCCCGTCCTCCGAGCCTCCGGTCCCTCCATCATGTTCGTCCTGTCCCTCTCATCTCCTCGCGCACCCTGCCTCCGTCCCTCCTCGTCCCCCCATCTCTCCCCAGGAGGGTGAGGGTGAGGGCCGCTGAGAGCGCGTCCGAGTCGAACACGCCTCAGGAACAAATGAGAACCCTGAGGGGGCCGCGAAGCGGCGGAAATAATATGTACTGAGAGGGTGAGCGAGGGCCAGGGAAAACCGACGCCGTGAAACCGCTCCCAAGAAAAGCAAAACGAGTTACGTCTGCGCTTTGCCCTCGGGGCGCTTGGAGCGCCCTTGGCGGCCGTGGAAGATCCTATCGATCAACCCCAGCTGGTTTGCCCTCGTGCTCGGATTCTCTGAGAGCCCAGCACAAGGACGACGGAGCTTCCGAACGCTCCGAGAAGTTTCGAGGGTCGTCGTGCCAGCACACTTACGGCAACAATAGACCGAATTCACACAGAAAACATCGTGGCCCAGAGCCGCAAACTCGGCTATGAGCTCGGTCGACCCCGAACTATTTGAAGCCTCGCCGATCTCTCGCTGCTGGGGAGGGTCCACAGGCCCAGGAAGGGGTTCCTCCGAGGCCTCGCGAGGCCCCTCACCCAAAAAGTCCGCGGCGAGCTCTTGGGACGGGGCAATACGGGGGTCCGACGCTTTGACCCAGACCTCCCCCGAATTCTTAAACCATTCCGCACAGGCCAGGCGCTGGAGGCTAGAGGGCTCACATTTCCTTCCCGAACCTGTCCTAAGCCAAGCTAGAGTCGAATCCGAGCGAGCCGATCTCCCACATACCCTGCACCTGTGCTCCTTGAATCTCCTGCACCACCATAGATCATGATCTGAATCACGGCCGAACAAGACTGGCTGACCCCGAACCTCACGAGCCTCTGGATCCTGAACGGGCGGCGGAGGACCTCGGCCCCAACTCTCCGAGACAATGACGCGTAAACATGCCCACGGCACAAACTGCAGCGCGGCCTTGTGGATTTTCAAAGCCTCTGTGAGCGACTCCGAGATCGCGTTGGCGATCATGTGATGCGCCGCACCTGCCTTGGCGAAGTAATCAGCCCAGGCATTGCCGAGCCAGTTCTCCAACTCATCAGGGTTATCCAGCACACTGTCGGGATCACGGTGTGCAGGAGTCCACTCAAAACGGATTGGGTACTCGAGCACACGACGCCGAGCCACCTGAAACATTTCGCGCCATATCTTGGCGTGTTTGCCTCGGCCGTGCTGAAGAGATTGATCCCAAGACTTGCCCTCTGTTACCAGCCCCAGAAGGTCTGACACGAACAACTCATGATCAGGATGAAATTCCAAGCCCATTTTGATAGCATATCTCTCAGCACGGCCAACGGTCTGCACATAGAAGGGCAGCGGTCCGTAGACCGCACGGACTGGCAGCAGGGTCTTGGGGTCCAGCTGGATGCATGAGTACCCACACCGCCTAGTCTCTGGAACACTGGAGGCGAAGCCCGAGCCGTCGGTGTAGCTCTTGGGGCCCCAAGGCCCATCGGTGTCGCCCCACAGGAGAACTTCAGAACTTATAGTGTCGAGCCCAGGGATACCCGCAGGAGGAGCAGGGGCCCCAAAGACCAGGTAGTTGGACTCCCAAGCCAGACACCCCTCATACCACTCGCCCCCCTTCAAGAGCATGCCTCTGGTTGCCTCCAAGTACTCTGAGATGTCCGAGAAGTCCCGGCGCTGCGTGAGCAGCTCGGGGCAATCGTAGAGCACGTGGCCCCAGATACCCTGAGACCGGGCCCCACAAGCTGCACACGGCCTGATTGGGATCTTTTGACGGGCATCTTGGAGCTGAGGTATGGGGAGGTTCCCTGACCAGTGCGCTTGGAGGGCCCCAAGTCTACGAACACACTTGATACTCGTCACCGAGTTGCGTAAGCCTCGATGCCATATCTGATCGTCAGGCTCAGCAGTATAAAAATGCTTTAGCAGCCGCTCGTCCTGCCAACGCTGGATCCCCTGGGTGAGGAAAACCTTCAGGTCGGCAGGGCACATCACACGCAAGTCGAAAACATTGCCTAGATCATCAGCCACCATATTACTAGATACTAAGTTCCAACCAATACGTCGTAACGTCAACCAGCAGGCCCCGATCGGGCCCCGAGTGTTAGCCCAGGACAGAGTGCCGATCTTATCTCGGAGAGCCTCCCAAGCCCGATGTAGACGACTGTCGGATATTCTACCGTCCCAGACCCACTCCGCAAATTTAATAACAATGGCTGTTGTGGCGTGGTAGATAGGATCGTAGAATTCACTCTTGTGGCTGATCAAGTAGGCGGTCACACCAGTGTTAAATCTGCCTGGTGCGCCGTTCAAGACGCCCGCGAAAAGACGCAGCTCTCGAAGTGCAACGTCACTTACACCAGCAACTGCAGCACCATGCGCCGCTGATGGAAGGGCGCCTGTGCGCCACAAAGCCGTCGAGACCTTGCCGACCGCAGACTTCAGCATGGAAAACCTCGCCTTCCTCTCTCTAAGCTGTTTGAGACGCTTCTTTTCCATGCCCCGAATAACCTTGGGCCCCGTGAGCTCGTGACCTAGGTTCCTCATGTGGCCTTTGTACGGGATCTTCATGGAGCCCATGTGGCGCTGCGCCCCCTTCCAGAACTTCCGAGAACCAGCGACAGCCCCAGACTTCGACGCCTTCAAGATCATGCCGAGGCCCTTGGAGTCCTGGATGAAACCTTTCGCTGCAAGAGCAAGGTGCTTGGCCTCCTTGGGGTCCTGGGAGGTATGCTGGAGCCCTATATCGTCCATGAGCGTCCTCGGGGTCACCGTGGGGGAGACCTTCGAGACCCTCTGCACCGACCTATAGGTGAGCAGGTACAGGACATATGTGGCGTGGGTACACCCTGCCAGGAGCCCCTGGAAGGACCGAAAAGCTCGAGAAACGCCCCCAAAGGCCTTTATTCGACGGGGCTGTTGATAGCTCTGAATGAGGGGCCAAAGAAGACGGAGTGGAAACCCAAGAGCCTGGCCTTCTCGGAGCAGGTCCTGTTCAGCATGCGGCGTCAATTAAGACTTCATAACTCCCCCTCGGCACATTATTAATTCACGCATGACTTCTTTATTTTGAATTGATTTCCCCCCTCTCCCTAATTTGCTTTTTTTTTTCCCTTTTCATATTCTTATTTTTCCCAAATTTTTTTCTTTTTTTTTTTTTTTTTTTTTCTTTTTTTCATTTTTCTTTAAACCTTCTATTATATCTAATAAGATTGTACAAGTATGTTCCCCCAACAACTGCGCCACCTCCTGCTGAATATTATGATCAAAAGCTGAATCTGTGGACGTGTGGCCCGCTCTCGTGCCCCACATCTGGTCGCACTGGTAGCCGGCCTGCCACGCTGCCGAGACTGGTCTCCTGAGCTTGCCCCAAAGGCGAACCAGCGCATGAGATAACACAATCAAGCGTGTATCCCCATCTGGTTTAGGTAAGCGAACCATTTCACTATAAACTCGCTCAGGAGGCCAGGACAGCCACTGCTCGAAAAGCATAGACATCTTGGCGATGCGCTCGAGCGCCTGGTCCGACAGAGAGTCCAGGTGAAATGCGGCTCGGCCCAGCTGCCGTACGCGTCGAAAACTTGCGAATGGCAGCCCGCACTTGGTGGTGGTCGAGCTCGGGCAGAGCAGGCCAGCTATCATGGCCTGGCGGCAGCTCTGGGGGCGACAAGTCATGGTGTCGCCAGACGCCCTCCCACGCGTCGAGAGTGTGGTTTGCCAGCAGGTACGGCTGGGCGTTCACGTCAAAGTTGAGCTGCTCCTGCTTGCCGCGCACCTTGGAGGCAGCGTGGGCCTGACTGGCCCCTCCCAGGAACGCCTGCTTGGCCCAGCCACGCCAAGCCTGCTCCGAGACCGACCTCGCGGCCTTCAACGCCGCGTCGGCCTTCAGAATGATGTTGTCCAGACCTGAGTCGAAGTCGGCGTCGCCGATCATGCCCAAGCCTCGCCGCAGAAAGTCGACGGTGTCCTGGTCCAAGTGGTGGCAGGTCTTCTTGTCGCCAACGATCCTACGGCAGTACTGGTCCACCTCGTAGAAAGCCTGCAGCACCTTGGTGTACTGCAGGGGCGTAAGCTGGCAGACCACCGAAGCCAACTGTAACCGTTGACAGAACCTGCCCAGTCGATCGCGCTCCGACCTGAGATGCTGACACCATCTTTTGACCGTCGCCCACGCATAGACCTTTGGTTCGCGATAAGTACGACGGCGCGGAGGTTCCCAAGCCAACAGCTTCCACTTGAAACGTGGAGGGCCCGAACGCCCGACGAAAGGAATCGCATCTTTGTCAACTTTGTCATAGCGCCCAGCCAACTCAAAATCGACTCCGTCAAGCACAGTGCCCCAAACTCGGGCAAGATCTGAAACCTCCTTCACTTCCAAGAAGATATGATCAACAGCATCCCACGGGTACGGGAACCTCGCGCACCCACATGGAGGAATAACTGGGAATGCCCTCGGCTCGTCTGGCACAAGACACCACGCTGGCCTATCGCTGCCCAGGAGATCGATGCTTGCTGGGTAGTGCGGAGGGGGTATGGTGCCGTACGTGTCCACCACCGCTGCTGCACCGAGCCGTGACGACAAATTTGCACACGCAATGAAATAGTCAATCGTCGAGTTGCCGTCCTCCTTGCAGCACGTGGCCGACGGTGGAGTGTAAGACAGCCCAGCCAGAGACTCAATCCACCTCCTCGCATTCAGAGCTGCTATATCAGAATTCCAGTCACCAGCTAAGATCCAGTCAAAGCCCGCAGCATTCCAAGAAGCAACTCTCTGAGCGATGGCCCAAAGTATGGAAAGATTCTCACCTGTCAGGCCGATGCTTGTCACCAAGTATGCACTGACCACAATCACACCACCAGGGACTCCCCAATTGACAAAGCTGGCCACCACTCTGCCTGGATAAACAGTGGGGTCGCCGTCGGGAGGCTTCGTGATCATCACATTCGTGGGCACCAGGACTGCAACCCCACAGTGGTTGGCCTGCGGGCCCTTGGCGTTGGTCGCCAAGGCTGGTGCCCACATGCCGTGGAAGCCGAGGTCCTTGGCGCGGTGCTGGAACTCCCCGAGGCGTGACTCCACGATCCTTGTCTCCTGCGCGCAAATGATCTTTGCCTTCACCACGGCCAGAAAGTCGAACAGCGGACCGAAAGAGCTCGCATTCACCGACAAAATTGCGCCTGCGATGGCAGGTGGAGAAGATTTGCCCTCCAACTCACCCGGCTTAGATATATCAGACCCGACGCTCACGCTACCGCGCCCGAGATCCAAATGTTCATCAGCGGGGGCAGAGGGAAATGACGAAGCTGCGCCTGCTGCTTCATCGCGTCCTGATTCACGTATTTTCGAGAGGCTCGGGCAAAAAGTGGAAACGAGGTCGTCGGCCTCCCGCTCGGCATCAAGAAACTCGAACGGGTCGTACTCACCGTCCATGTTTGATCCCACCATGGCTCCAGCAGGTCGGTACCCTCTGCCGTCCAATGTCGCAGCAGGCTCGCAGCGAGGCGAAGAGGGTGAGTGGTGCGTGCCGTGGGGGCCTGGGGCCTCCAACGGTCGGTACTCTCCGCCCTCAGTTGTCCTCAATGCTGCTTGCCCGCCGACGACGGACGGTGAGCAATGCGTACCCCCTGGAGCCGAGAACGCCGAGGAAGCACACCCCATCTGTGAAGCAGAAGCCGCACTCTGCGAGGTACGCGATGCACGGGGTTCCACCTCAGCGCTCTGCTCGGCCAGCCGAGTGAGCGGTGCTGAGGGTAGCCAACACGTGCCAATAGCATTCTCATCCCAAGAGACGCTTGCCGATGCCGCAGAAGACGCCGCACTCTGTGACGTGCACGGTGCACGGGGTTCCGCCCCAGGCCTCTGCTCGGCAAGCCGAGTGAGCCTCCCTGAGGGTAGCCAACTCGTGCCAATAACATCCAAGAGACGCTTGCGCACGTTGTAGCACACGCCGCCGACGTCGTAGTCCTCGGAGAAGTTGCAGATGAAGCTGATACCCCGCTTCGAAGGGACCCGTCATTGCTTGCCGTCATTGCCGCTGAACTGAGTAGGATACAGAGCCCAAAGATGACGAAGCTATTGTTTGCGAGCCCGCTTGCACGCCTCGATGTACGTCGTCTGGAACCGCTTGAACCGTTCCGTGACCGCCTCGGCAGAGACACTTTCGTCCGTGGGGATACCTGCCGCGTTGAGCGTCGCCCGCATGTCTGCCTCCTCCATCTTAATGTCAGGAGGTTCGGCTTGATCAGGCTCTTGTGCAGGTGGTTCTGCAGTCTGAGGCGGGGGCGGCTTTGCCTGCAGCGCCTGCTGCAACTTGGTGACCGTCTCCGCCATAGCTTGCAGCCCAGCAGTAAGATCAGGCCCCAAGCCCAGAGTGCTGGCGACGCGCCCCAGCTGCTCCACCGACACGGCGAACCCAGGGAGCATCTCGTGGAGCGTGGGCGGCCGCTGCTGCTCGGGCGGGCGCGCCTGGGACATGGCCTTGCGCGTCTCCTCCTCGAGCCTGACCACCTCGGCGGAGGAGGAGGAGGAGGAGGAGGAGGAGGAGGAGGAACCAGGTAGGAGGAGGAGGACGACGAGGCCATGGAGGAGGAGTAGGAGGAGGAGGAGAGGAGGGAGGTGGAGCGAGGCGGTGCAGCCGCAGGAGGAGGAGGAGGAGGAGGGGAGGAGGCGGAGGCGGCGCGGAGGAGGAGGAGGAGGAGGGAGGAGGAAGAGGAGGAGGAGGAGGAGGAGGAGGAGGAGGAGGAGGAGGAGGATGGAGGATGAGGAGGAGGAGGAGGAGAGGAGGGGCGGAGGCGTGAGGCGGAGGCGGAGGCGGAGGCGGGAGGGAGGCGGAGGAGGAGGATCAGGCTGGAGGGAGGAGGAGGAGGAGGAGGAGGAGGAGGAGGAGGGGGAGGAGGAGGAGGAGGAGGGAGGAGGAGGATGCGAGGAGGAGGAGGAGGGGAGGAGGAGTGAGGCGGGAGGAGGCGGAGGTCAGGAGGAGGAGGACGGCGGAGGAGGCGGAGGAGGCGGAAGCGAGGCGAGGAGCGGAGGAGGCGGAGGAGGCGGAGAGGCGGAGGAGAGGCGGAGGAGGAGGAGGTCAGGAGGAGGAGGATGAGGAGGAGGAGGAGGGCGGAGGAGGCGGACATGAGCGGGCAGGCGGAGGAGGAGGAGAAGCGGAGGTAGGCGGAGGAGGTGGAGGAGGAGGAGGAGGAGGAGGAGGAGGAGGAGGAGGAGGAAGAAGAAGAAGAGGAAGCAGAAGAGGAAGAAGAAGAGGAATAATAAGAATACGAATAAGAAGAATAATACTAATAATAATAATAATAATAATAATAATAATAATAATAATAAGAATAAGAAGAAAAATAAGAAGAAAAATAACACTAAGAAGAATAAGAATAAGAAAAATAATACGAATAATAAGAATAATAAGAAGAATAATAAGACGAATAATAATCATAATAATAATAAGAACAATAATAATAAGAATACTACTCATAATAATAATAATAATAATAATAATAAGAAGAAGAAGAAGACGAAGAAGAATAATAATAATAAGAAGAAGGCGAATAATAATAATAATAATAATAATAATAATAATAATAATAATAATAATAATAATAATAATAATAATAATAATAATAATAATAATAATAATAATAATAAATATTATAAGAAGAAGAAGAAGAAAGAATAAGAAGAAGCGAACACGAGTATAGAGAAGAAGAAGAAGAAGAAGAAGAAGAAGAAGAAAGAAGAAGAAGCAGAAGAAGAAGAAGAAGAAGAAGTGACGAGGAGGAGGAGGAGAGGAGGAAGTGAGGAAGTAATAGGTAGGGTGAGGAGGAGAAGGAGGTGAAGGACGAGGAAGTAGGGCCGAGGAGGAGAAGGAGGAGGTGGAGGAGGAGGAGGGGAGGAGGAGGAGGAGCGGTAGGAGGAGGAGGAGGAGGAGGAGGAGGAGGACAAGGATGAGGACGTGGAGGAGGAGGAGGAGGAGGAGGAGGAGGAGGAGGAGGAGCAGAGTATACCCAAGACGCACTGACGATGTTGCAATCAGCCCTCCATCCAAGGTCCCTGTTGATAGGTCTCCACCGACACGTCCTGGGGTGCGACAGGAAGGAAGAGGGATGGAGGAGGAGGATTCTATGCGAGGATTCCAAGTTCGGCAGCCACGCCGCGCTACTGCCGCCGACCACTCCGCCGAGAGTTGACGCCAACGGTGGCACAGTCAGGGTGCCAGAGGCGGAAGAGGAGGAAGATGTGGATGAGGAGAGGGATGAGGATCAGGAGGTGGAGCACCAGCGCATACGTAGTGTTGAGTATGGTCATCTGGATGATGTTGAAGACACGGATGTTGTTATTGTTGCTGTTGTTGTTGCTGTTGTTGTAGATGGTGGTGATGATGCTGATGCTGATGATGCTGATGATGCTGATGCTGATGATGCTGCTGATGATGATGCTGATTGGTGGTGATGATGCTGATGATGATGCTGCTGCTGATGATGATGATGCTGATGCTGGTGATGGAGACGATGATGATAATGCTGATGCTGCTGCTGATGATGCTGACTGCTGCTGCTGCTGATGAGGTTGATGCTGCTGCTGATGATGATGCTGATGATGATGCTGATGATGCTGCTGCTGATGATGCTGTTGATGATGATGCTGATGATGCTGAGGATGCCGATGATGCTGATGACGCTGATGATGCTGATGCTGCTGCTGATGATGATGACGATCATGATGATGACGATGATACTGATGATGATGAAACTGATGATGATGATGGTGATGGTGATGATGATGCTGATGCTGATGCTGATGCTGATGATGATGATAATGATGATGATGATGATGATGATGATTGGTGGTGATGGTACTGATGATGCTGCTGCTGATGATGATTATGATGATGATGCTGATGCTGGTGATAGAGATGATGATGATGATGATGTTGATGCTGCTGATGATGATGCTGACTGCTGCTGCTGATGATGTTGATGCTGCTGCTGATGATGATGCTGATGATGATGATGTTGATGATGATGATGCTGATGATGCTGCTGCTGCTGATGATGTTGCTGATGATGCTGCTGATGATGCTGATGATGCTGATGATGCTGATGACTCTGATGATGCTGATGATGCTGCTGATGATGATGACGATCATGATGATGACGATGACACTGATGATGATGATACTGATGATGATGATGATGATGGTGGTGGTGATGATGATTCTACTGATGATGATGCTGCTGCTGATGCTGATGATAAAGATGATGGTTGATGATCGATGATGATGATGATGATGACGATGATGATGATGACGAT